CAGTGTGTACGGCCTGCAGAGCGCAGGCCCAGTGACCATGAGAAACCACAGGAAGATCCAGGAGACGGTGAGACTAAGGGGACATCACGTCACCTGTGGACCTGTTCCCCGGTGATGCATGCCAGGCCATGTGGGAGCGCATCCACCACAAGGATCTGCACCAAGATCACAAGGACCTGAAATGGCTCATAGCCCACTGAGCTCTACCAGTGAGGGCCTGGAGACATAGGGGCAGGAGGGGAGACCCAGCTGCCTGTGGCCCAACTGCCACCGGGCCACCGAGACAATCGACTTGGTATGGAAAAGGGTGAAACAGCTCTGTGAAGTGGTGACTGGTGTCAGCCAGCTAACCAGTGAAGCAGAGCTGTACGAGCACCTTGCCAAACATCAGGGGAGCCCGTCGGCCCATTTCAACCAGTTTGCATTTTGCGTCAGGAGCGCTTTGTGGAAGGCCAGGAACCTCCTGTTGTACAGGCACACAGACGTAGAGGTAGTAGGCTGTGTGAAAATGGTGCTGAGCAAAATCCAGACCTACTACCAGAAATCGGTAGTGGAGGACAGAGAAGATACCTGGCACAGAGACATGTGGCACAGGATCATCCAACACCCCCCTCCCACCCCAAGTGGAGAGGGGGGCGAAGGCAGCGAAGAAGAGGAAGGGACAAGCAGAACAGAGGACAGTGACAGCAGCAGAGGGTCCTCCAGCAGGAGCTGGAGTGACAACAACGGAGAGGGCACTTGAACGGAGTATGTGACCCTGCAAGTGGGGCAGGGGCATGAAGGAAGTGTGGGAAAGGACCGGGATAGACTTAGTTGTTTTGTGTGTGTTGCACACAATGTGGATATTGTAACGGGTTCGGGTGGCCAGCGGGCCTTTGTACGGGTGCATGGGTGAGGTTTTTGTAACGGGAAAGGTTTTTCCTTTTGTGGTGTGCTATGTAGAGTGTAGATAGATAGATATATATATTTACAAAAAAAAAAAAAAAAGATGAGTTGGTCCTATGCTTCAGAAGGGAGGTGGAGAGAGGAGGAGGAGGAAGTGATACTGCTCTTGCTGCCCCACCCTTTACCCAGGATGTAAGTGGGGAAAGAAAGCAGTTTTTCCAGATTTTGGTATTCCTGATCTTAATCCTTTCCTCTGCCTGAAAGGACCTGAACTCACTTCCCTTTGGAGACTGCTTTAATCTGTAGTGGGTGGGGCAGTGCTCTCCATCCTCCCTGTTGAAGCTGTTCCTCTTTGAATGGAATAATTATTCATTGGGACACAGAGAGGAATTGAGACTGAGCAGGACTTCACAGCCCTGTGGGCATTCACCTGGAAGCAGGGACACCTGGGTCCTAGATCCTACCTCATTATCTGTCGCTGGCCAAAATATTATTTATTTCTTCTATACAGTATGTAAAAGCCACAATAGGAAGGACCCACACCAGAATACCCAATGACTTAGGGCACTACTGGGAGGGGAGAAGCATGTGGCACAAATCACCTCGCAGAAGGGAATTAAACCAGGTCTCCCACATCCAGAGTGACTGCAGCTAGCAAGTGAAAGGATGGAGCTCCCAGTATCACTGCATGCGCAGCGTAATCCCTGAAAAAGTGTTCTGAGAACGCTTACTGGTTTAAGGCCTGGAGGCAAGATCAGTGGAGAAATGCCTGGTTTGGGAGTCCCAACACAGCTTAAGTGTGAAGGAAGCACCAGTCACTGTCAAGAGTAAGGTGCATCCAGGCATGCATATGAACAGGATGTGAGACACCTGGGGAAGTTTAATACCAAGAACTCAAATGCCTACAGATCTCTGAAGATGCCAGGGTTTGATGGCAACAGAGTGGGACTTGGAAGATCTAAGTGTTGGACTTGAGCACCTAAGTCTCATTGTGAATCTAGCCCTGCTGATCAATGGGCACTTATGAAAATCCCATGTCTTTAAACACACAAATATCTTAGAAAATCTGCCCCCAAGTGACTGAGTTGTGCAAGGTCAGACAGAGTTTATGGTAAAGCCAAGAACTGAACCTAGGTCCCATATCTGAATCCAGTGCCTTAACTGGAAGTCTGTTCCTTCCTTTCTTGTCTACCTTTGTCATAAGAAGGCTGTGGTGTCTGGTCAACCCTAACAGTCTGGAGCAACCTACTGATGATGCCTCTGGCCTCTGCGCTACGTAATCCGCTCTTCTTTTTTGCCAGTGATTGTTCTCTGTACTCCATGCAGACGGGCACCACAGCAGAGAGAGATACCAGCTCCAAAGGCCAAAAGAATTGTCCATCACCCAGAATACACTCACTCTCCACACACCCACGATATTGCTCTGGTCCAGCTGGCAGAATCAGTGCCATTCACCTCTTCCATTCAGCCCGTCTGTATCCCTGACCCATTCCACCAGGTGCCACCTGGGACTGCATGCTGGGCAGCAGAGTCCAAAAACAGTAACTGTAAGGGAAAAGGCTCCTGACACTACAGATTTGCATGAGTGTGGAGATGAGTTTTAGGCAGCCCATGACTGCAGCCAGGGGATGAATGGCTGCTGAGCAAGGAAAACTAAGGTGCTTTGACCTGGACAGGGCTCAGAAACACCTGTCTAAAGGAGAGTTGCTGTCCAGGCTCTACCTATGAAGGGACAAAATGGCCAGTTCTTGGGGGGAAAGCACATATTTGGGGGTAGTTCTAGTAGGGTCCAAGACTTAGGTTGGCATTTGCCCTGTGTTATTATTGCCCAGTGGGGTTTTAGAGACTTGGTTTTTCAGAGAAATAATTTTTAATTTGATAGCTCCCCCTAAAGGATAAACTCTATATGCTGAGTTTTCTAGACCTCAAATCATTTTATATTTCCTCCTCTGAACTCTTTTTAATTTGTCTGCATTTTGCTCCATGTGTAACCTCACTGATGCTGAACAGAGGGCAATAACCACTTCTCATGACTTGCATATCACATGCCCACATGTCTTCAGAGCTATGATCATCAACTACCTAATTTCACTACTATGTTGGTTTTCTTCCTGGCAGCTGCACCCCAAAGACTTGCATGGATTGTAGCTTCCCCTGCTGACTGTTCTCAGCTGACCAGCAACCCATCACCATGTGCCCAGGACTCCCTATCCACCCAGTCAGCATCCCAGGAAATCATTTGGCCACTGCCATTATCAGCCACTAAGGACACCCATGGGTAAAAGGAGCTATTTAAACCACATTCATTTTGGTATGAAAGGCACACCTAACCCTACTGAAATGTCCCTGCTAATACACAGAGAACAGCCCCTCCCAGCTCTCCACACCTTGCTAATAATCCTTATTTTGTTGCTTGGAGATTAGTCACAAGGCTTTTGCTACTGCTACTCAGAAGGCCTGACCTCTACAGCAGCCTCAAAATCACTAGTTTCATGGCTGCTAATAACATGCAGCAGTGGAGGTGTGCCAATGGATAGCCTCCCTCCCCTTGTTAGGCAACCAGAATATTGCCTAGTGCACCTACTGCATGCAGCTTAGACTGTACAGGCAGAGCCTTATCATCATCACCCACCTCCCCCTGCCCTGAAAACTGCTCTTACATTGACTTACAGACAAAGCCAGCCCCTGTTGCCACCTTTGCCTCGGTGATGACGACGAGCACCCAAACATCACCATGACTGGTACTTAGCTACATTGCCGCTAGTGACAGCAGTGACACCGGGACAGAGAAAGTGCTACCCATGCCTCTATTCTATAAAAGGGTGGTATCTCACCTTTCCCTCTATCTCTACAGATGGCTGCTGGAAGAACCCTTGTTTCCCCAGGGAAGAATAAGGGGCTCAACATGGAAGGAATAATTCCACACACACATCACTGAAAACAGAGCCATCCATCCCTACATTGCATTCTCAAAGGTGGCTCCTTTTATTCTGTGGATACTATCCTATTGCTTCACCTGATGCAGAGCACAAATGGGCTTTTCTTTCTTGTTCTCTGCTTTTATCCAGGCGGGACTTCGAATTGAGGCAGGGAACATGAGAAATATGCTTTGACAGGCAATCATGCCTGCTGCATTGAAAATGCTGCATTTAGCAGAGACCCTGCATGACGAGTTCTAAGAAAATTCTGTATAGTTATAGAAGGGAAAAATTATTTTGTGCTGTAACTCAGTTTGTAAGGAATGCTAATCCTCACTTAAATAAGTCAACCTAGAAGGCTTTATGGGCACTTTTACCCACACAGACTCTCAGGGCCCTGCTACATGTTCAAATTAAAGCTGGATAGAAGTCAGCTATAGAGTTGTTACACATTTTCAAGCACTAACTTTATAGCTGGTTGGCTCTTTTTATAGCTGGATAGTAATTTTTATTGTGTGATCATTACTTTGCACGTGGCTGGTCTAAATGTATTGCTCGATTAACCAGTTAATTGCATAATATATGTACATGTAGCAGGGGCCTTCAGTTCAACTACTGTAGCCTCGCAGGGCTAAATTCATTGCTGATGGAGCTCCTCCAAAGCTACATCAGCAATGAATTTGGCACACAATAGACCAGGTCAAATCATTGCAGTTGTCCAGGAATTAAAGGTGGAAACAACTTCATTTTTCCCCCACAGAGCAAGTACTGTGTCTCTACTGACCCAGCCACCCATGTTTCAGACTGTCAGCTCTTTGCACAAATAATCACTAAACATGCAGGTTACCCTGCTTAGGGTGTGAATACGTTAAGACTTGATGATAAAAAAGTGAGGACAGAAAAAGCAGCATAGTAGCTCCAAGATGCAAAATTAAGCTTCCTCTGGTAATGTGCTGCCAGCAATTGAACTTGTATGACACTGAGTAATGAAGCAGTAGAGAATATTCAGCCAAATTCTGAGAATAATATGGTCACAGACAAACTAGTAAGATTTTATGTTCTTAAGATGGATAAAAGCTTAGTGGGGCAGAGAAAGTTAGACATTTCTGTCTTCACTCATGTTTGGTCGGTCTCTGGCTGAAGAAAAAAAAAAAAAGAATGAACAACTCTGAGAAACTTACTGAACACAAGAACCAATACCTTTAAACACAGTGTGCATTTATTATATTTTGCTCTTCTGGAGCAGCCTCGAACTGGACATCTCAAAATGCTTTAATGTCTTTAGCCTAACAGCAGCCCTGTGAAGTAGGAAAATACTGTTGAGATGAAAATAACAACAGGACACAGTGAAACAGTGACTTGCCAAGGACATACAACAAGCTTATGGCAGAACCAGAATCAGAACCCAGGTCTCTTGGTTACTGAGTCTGTACTTTAACTACAAGGCCATTATTACTACTTAAGTGACAGTAATGGGATTGCATAAAATTGCTCGTCAGCCTCTGCCTTCCACCTTAGACATCTGGTACCACCTGGAGTTTCATATGAGTTTTAGGTAAGGATGGGTCAAAAGGATGCTTATTCTTCCTACACCAGGTAACATTAAAACCAGACTCCTAACCATTAACCCTCCATTAAGCCCTTTCATTGCCTGATTTTGTTCCTGCCTAGGCGCATCTACACAAGACGTGTTAAAGTGCTTTAGTCTAATTTAATGTGCATTACAGGCATGCATCTACATGTGTATGCCCTTAATGCACATTAAAAATGACAAAATTAGGCTAATCGTGCCTAAATTTGATACCTACAAATGCAGATATCAAATTTAGGTGCAATTGGTTAAAGCACATTAACACACGTGTAAATGCGACCCGGCACTAACTTTAGTGCCGGTTTTGCCTAGCTACTAGCGGCACATGGCAGGGCTGCAGGGACTTGGCACTAAAGTTACCCTGCATAAGTAGACACCTGCCAAAAAAAAAAAAAATCACTTAATGTGCATTAAATTTAGTTGCACTTAAATACATATGTAGACAAGCCCCCTGAAAGCTAACCTCAGGTGCCCAGTGCCTCCTGGTGACAGATGCCTCAGACTACAGACCGTCTAGTCAAGTCACTGCAATAGTCTCTCTCATTCCTTTAACAAAATGATGGGTCTGATAGTGAGCCACTAGCATATGTTATAAGCTTTAAACTGAATGAAGAGCAGGGGAAGGTGGAAGGCATGAGTGTGCAAGCATTAGAGGCTCCAGCCTATAGCCCAGCTCATCACCTTTGAGTCTCCTCTTGCTGAATGTAAACAGTACAGTATTGGACAAGGATCAGCACTTGGATAAAAGCAATTCATCTGAAGAGTAATCCAGACAAGATAAAGGTCACTTCATGGCAAAAGTAATTTCCATTCCCTCTGTTGAGCTGGTTACGACTGGAGGAGGTTTTCTCAGGTTCTCAGACTGCAACAGTGAAGACGGTTTATCTCGTATCTGACAGGGAGTGTGCGTGAACCTTACCCTCCAGTTCGTACCTTGCTACAGGATATTCATGCCTCTTCCACACCTGGCCATTCAATACAAGGCTGTGATCAAAGACTTGGCTGGATATTTAAGCCTGAGAAGAAAATTGATCTCTCTCACAAAATCTTGTTGCCTGCATCACTAGCTTCCTATTTTGTTTCCAGGTGCAACTAGGGGTGTTGCCTTTGACCTGTCAAATCCTACGTAACTTGACATCTGGCTACCCTGGAAGACATTTCTCTTTCTTGATGCTTCATCCTGGGCAGTAGAGGCTCTCACTCTCTAGCCCTGATCATCTGGCAGCTCCTTAGCCAAGTTGCTGGCCCAGCCTGGTGCAAAAGTTTTGTATTTACCAGGATGTAAGCCTGACTGCCTCAGGAAGAATTCTTTATAACTGATTTTTTCTAGACTAGTTATTCCAGGGGGGTTCTTCTTCTCACTCCTTCCGCACAAACTGATGCAACAGCAACTCTTAACAGTCAGTATTTTAGTGGATATGCCTTTCCAGTAGTCAATGCCATTGGATGATGTCTATAAACTAACAATGCATCTAGCAGCGATGAGCAGTTCCCAATCCTGGTTACCTCTGCAGTACCACCTTTTACCAACAGGTGTTTCTCTTCTCTAACAAATCACTGCTGAACTAGCACAAAGTACCTAGCCTGGACTGTTGGGTAGGATTGCAGCAGAGCTACATCAAGGAAGAATTTTGTCTCCCAGCTGCTTCAAGACAAGTCAGTTTTTCAGCAGGAAACCAAACAGCCTACGTAGCTTCACTTTCTAGGTGATATTCAAAGGTTGCATTCGGCATGAAGATGCACACAGCAGCCACTGTCAGTCTTCATCCTCACGCTACAATCTCACAGTGCTCACTTGCCATTTCAAAATGCTTGTGGTAAAGCTCATTAGTTTATAAGCTGTTGTCCGTACACTTGTTATTTAACCAGTGGCAGGGTAGAAATGCAGGCATTAGTTGACCGGGACTATCAACCCCACTGACTACAGTAGGCCCAAACTGCACTGGACCATGAGCAGTAATACTGAGCAAGTAACGTATTAAAGGCATCATCCCACTTTTTTTCTATTAAAAATTTCTGCAGGTTCTCTGGAAAGTAAATTTTCCTGTGGCTACAAGGAATATCAGGGAGTCTTGCAGATAACACAGCCTCAGAAGCTATGGGTTGGGAAACACCATTCTAGGCCCCCCCCCCCAACTGCTAAAAGTGCTCTGATGTTTTTATATCATAGACAAGTGTCCTGTCTAATCCACACTCTGTGCTAAATGCATACAATGTAAGAGCTTCTCCCTACTCTTCTTTTACATGGGTGTTTGCCATGTACCAATGAAACATCAGGCCCTACAAGTAATGATTCTTTGCACTTCAAAAGAACACTTTTCTCAATTATTTCAAGATATTCCCATTTTCCCAGTGGGAAAGTTAAAATACTTGCTGCTCTGCGAAAGAGCTAGCAATTACGGGTGCACCGACAGAGATTTTTGAGGCTGATACCAATAACTAATTTTTAAGGAGGCATATCAGCCGATACCAATCTGATTTCCAATACAGCTGTGTGCAGCTGGTAAGTCTGTTGTGGTGGAAGGGGAGGGAAGGGGCATGGGGGCATAGATGAAGGCCCCTGTGGTGAGGGAGGAAGTGGAGCTGAGGTAGACATGGCCCAGCTGGGGCAAGACAGGGCATGGGACAAAGCCACAGCTCATCCAGGGGCAGCTCCTGCTGCTGTGCACACCCCGGGAGGGCATTGGTGGGGTGGGGGGAGGGAGGAGGGGGCGTGTGCCCCCTGGATCTGCGTGGGGCGCAGGCAGGGCGGGCTGCAGCTGCAGGCTGGGGGAGCACCAGGGGCACTGGGAGGGTGGGGCTGCAGCCACCCCAAAAATTGCCACAGCCACCCCATAGCCTCCGGCTGTGCTCCTCACTGCCTATATGCTGCCCTGAGGCTGTGCGCATGCACGGGCCATTTATCAGCCACATCAGGCCCATCTCCAATATAGACAATTTTCTTTATATCAGTGCCGATCTGATATTGGACCGATGCATCGGTGCACCTCTACTGGAAACAAAATATAGAACTTCTGAATCCACACTGTGATCTGCTTAGTAACTACAGGGCCATATGCACTCTAACTTTGGCACTGGAGAATATTCTAATGTCTCAACAAATGCCGCAAAAGAGAGTAACAACTACCTACTGTTTGAGTCACCTAGTCTCTCTTCTCAGGTCCCTTCCAGAGTCTAAGATGTCTTAGTTTGTATGTAGTAGCTTAAGTCTCCAGAGGAATCACAAATCTCTTCAACAACATTCTCTAGCCCCTCTAGAGTTTTTGAAGGCACAGGTGGCACTGTGGGCCACATGCCATGTTACTGCAGGTGTCTATTATGGAGGTCAAGGCAAGGCAACATGTCTGTGAAGGGAATGCAGTCTGCCTGGCCAGTGCCAACAAGGGACTCAGCAGCACATCACAGCTTCTATTTGGGGTAACAGGGAATGCAGCCGGCCATCTACTTCACCTAAATACTTCACCTCACTTCATACTGAGCTTGTTCTTAGGCACATCTGTATTGGAAAATTAACCTTATCCGCAGATCCGTCTTTCTCCATTCATTTAACATTGCAGTTTAGTCAGGGCCTATTACAGAATAGGCAGGTTATCCCCAACCCAAGGGGTAATCTTGGATCAGTTGGGCCCTGTCTATGCTAAACCTGAAACCAAGGTGAGGCCCCTCATAACATTCTGACAGGGTAGAGGGATGCAACCAAAACTGGACCTGTGCTAGGCCTTGTAATCCAATTAAAATCCAGTGTTTTGACAGACATCTCTTTCCTATAACTGAACTAAGTCAAGGGGCAGGTATACTGTAACCAGGACCCACCCCTAGCCTAGATAGGGGAGATTTATAACCAGTAGCAAGGGGTACACAAAGAGGCAACAGATACAGCTCCCAGCAAATATCAAAAAGTATCAAAAAGAAAAAAGGAATATAAATAAAAGAAAACTTGATGAAGGTTAAAAGCCCATAAGTGGGCCGCACTGAGACCAGCAAGTCAGGGGGCACCACTGATTAGTTGCTTTGACCACAAACAATCCAGTTAAAATAAAAGTTCTTAGAAGCAGTCTCATGTCTTAGCCTGCAGCATAGCACTACTATTTCCCACCCTGGCCTCAGTGGACCATCAGTATATTTGGACTTCTGACAGCTCAGGTGAAGTAGCTGCTCCTGCTGGCAACCCTGGTGCTTGCTGAAGCTTTGCTTCCAAGTTCTCCAGCCCTGCAGACATCTGAGAGTAAGGCAGCCCTTTATGTTGGAGGGAAGCAGAATCAGGTGGTTGGCAGCCATGTCCAGATGAGGCACCAAAGTGGTTCTGTATGTAAAATTCTCCAAAGGCAGTGCTGGTTTGGTATGGGGCAGGAGCGTGGATGTAACCTGGCGTGTAGCTATGCCAGGATTCCAGGCTCTGGGCATTAGGGTGCTGTATCTGTGTGGTAGGAAGTGCTGGAGGTGAAGGGCAGTAGTAGCTCTGAGTGGGGTATGAGCCCGGCACTGGATTAATTCTGAACAGAAAGGAAAAAAAATAGTGTTACATGGTGTTTACACTTGGCATTTCCCAATCTCTGCACATGCCCTTTTGGCAAACTTCATTGTTCAAAATCACCACGAGCATGTAACAGGAATCACTCTACGACAGCAAGCTGAGCTCAGTTGCTACAGAATACTTAGCAGCAATATACAAAAAGCTTGGCATTACCCATTAGAAATACACCCATACTCCTCAATGGAGGTAGTGTGGATACAAGTCTCTCATTGGCATGAAACACGCCAATCCTCCAAAGCAAGGTAAGATTTCTGTAACCATCGCCTGGATATTCCATTGAAATTGTGTGTCCTTTAAGCTGTTAAATCAGAAAGATCACCTGTCAAGCATTATTTACCAAGACACCAAGCCATCAGAGGAGGAAGAGAGTTGGCAGTATTTGGGTAAGAAATTCTAATATAATGAATATTTCAGAAGTGAGCATCCAGAAACAGCAACTGCTAGCAGAAGGCATGAATCAGAAGATGCTCTACTTAATACGTTAACCATGCAGGACTACCTATTGATCCCACATATTAACCTGCCTTGAGAATGGGGCAGAACTTTAAACACTACGCAACAGAGAACTGAAGGCTCTCTGGAGAGAGGGAGAGCTTCAGGTGGGGAAAGCTACTCATTGTCAATGGCCAGGGAACAGGTACCTAGGAACTTATCTGATAGAAGCACTTACTACAGTAGCATCATGGGCTAGAGCTCTGCATGGGAGACAACATACGTGCACAACAGAAGCAAGCAGCAGTAAGTCGCCCTGGGGTTGGGCCAGCAAACTGAATCAGGAAACACCTACAATAGTTCAGGGGGGCACCCAACTGGAAGCAGGCAGGGCCAGGGAGGTATATAAACACAGGCCATAAGCCAAGAGGGGCAGTCTGGCCCTGAAGCAAGAGCTCCAGAGCTGGGGTAATGCAGGAGAGTTCCTAGCTGGCACCAGGGCTATCCTGAGGAAGAAAAACAGAGTGCTGCTGCCCTACGGAAGAATATTACCTGGAGTAAGTGGAAGCCTGGTTATGCAGGCAGGTAGCCATTGTTTGGTTAGACCAAGAGAAGCTTTAGTTTGCGTTGTGGCCAGAAGGCTTACTCCTCCATTAGTTTTAACTAATGGTTTGGCCATGGCTGAGAGGAGAGTTTGTGGAGGTCATGGCAGTGCACCCAAGGGATGCCTGGGGGTTTAACCTACAACAGGGTGCCAGGGGCACACCAGTATTTAGAGCCCTACTAGGGGCCTGGATTCAGGGCATACTGTAGGCTTGGACCTGAGGGAGAAGTTGAAGCTGAAAGAGAGACAGAGAGAGAGACTGAAGCTTAATTTGGGCTGGCGCGGGACAAGAACCAGGGGCTCCAGTGCCCAGGGAGGGTTAAGTCAGGGCCAGGGTGTCCTGTGTACGAGACTGATGGGCACAGGGGCCAGGGACAGAGCCAGAGCAGGGTCATTGCCTATGGCAGGGTGGAGACAGCCCTAGAGAGGCAAGATCAGGGCTACTGGCCCAAAGCCCAAGCAGGGCACAACCTGAGAGAATGACTCAGGCTGGGACCCAGAAGTCAGGCCCTGCACAGTGGGCCTAAAATGAAGGGACCAGTGACAGGAAAGCGGTGGAGGCCAAGAAGGCCAAGACCTCAAGAAGGGTATAAAGGCCTGAGATGGCCTGATATTAGATTGGAGCCAAGTGCCCATCCAAATTAAGTAGTAACACCTGCATGACATGAGCATTGCTGTAGGGGAGGTCAGAGGTCATGATTACCCTTAAGGCTAACAGGTGCCCTGGGCAGTGATGGGCCATCAGGGCCCACCTAGCAAGGGCAGGGCAGAGATCAATAGGATCCAGGAAGAACTAGCTAGCATCTAGAGGAACTGGGGCTCACACTAGGACCCATTAGACAGCCTCCCTTCCAATCAAACAATTTCATAGATTTTATAGACATTAGGGCTGGAAGGGACCTCAGAAGATCATCACGTCCAGCCCCCCGCCCGAAGGGCAGGAAGTCAGCTGGGGTCATAGGATCCCAGCAAGATAAGCATCCAATTTACTCTTGAAGGTGTTCAATGTAGGTGCTTGAACCACCTCCGATGGCAGGCTGGTCTAAACCTTGGGGGCTCAGACAGTAAAGAAATTCTTCCTTATGTCCGGCCTGAAACGGTTTTGCAGTAGTTTATAACCAATCGACCTCGACCTTAATTATATTAAGGTGTAGCAGGCAAGCAAGAAGGGAAGGGCACCCTTGAGCTAGAGCAGGGTAAGGGTTGTATAGCCAGCAGGGGGACATCCCAGTCACTCCTGGAGCCTAAACACAGTTACACACTACCAATTTAATAACTAACATTTTTCATTATAATACCCTGCTTTCATAATAAGCCTTCTATCCAGTCTCTTTCAAGGTCCAATATCACAACATTATTTATTCCTGTGACCTAAACCGAGGTAAAGACGGGCTAAGTGAACTGCCCAAGAACACAACACCAGCGACTAGCACATCCAGGAAAAAAAGCCGGAACTCCCGCTTCCTAAGGTATTCTGATAAGCAAATCACATTCCTTCTCTTAACCTCAAGGAACAAGACTGAGGACATTGTTGTTTTTGTTTTGACATGCTTGCAAACCACAAGAAGTGTTGTTATAAGAAGGAAGATAACTAACTTCTTTTTGTTCACAGGGGGCAGGACAAGAAGTAGTGAAACAGAAATTTAGGTTGGATATTAGAAAAAGCCTTTTAACTATGAGAGTGGTTAAATACCGCAAGAGGATACCTAGAGAAACAGTTGAATCTCCTTCACTGGAAGTTTTTAAGTGCCTGTTAGACAAATATTCATCTGGGACAGTGAAGACAGGGATGATCCTCGCTGAAGCATGGGGTCCTAAGGTCTTAGATTGTCTTGAAGTCCCTTCCCCCATATTCTGCTATGATTTCTGTGATTCTCTAGCATTCCCATTATTGCCACCTGTGACATGGGTAACTCTCAGGGCCTAGTCACAGTACCAGTCCAACCACCTGTCTAGGGCAGTCTGCTCAGTCTCACCTGCCACACCTTGTTGTTAAGATACCGGTTGTAAAAATGCGGGAAGGCTGCCTATTTACGACCTCGATGCCTAGGGCTGTACACACAACTCTGATCTCCTGTTATCATGTCCCATGCCTCGCAGATGGCATCCCTGAGTTGCCCTTTGCTCTGGCTCCAAACTCAGCCCCTTGCTAGGCCTCATGCATTTGTCCTTTCACTCCACCTCATCATGCCTCATTCACCCCACCTGCTCTCACCAGGCCTCTTGCACTCCCCCACTCTCACTGGGCCTCTTACATGCTGCCCCTCACTGGGTCACCCCCAACCTGCCCTGCTCCCTTGAGCAACTGTGTAGGCCATTAGGCTTGCCTATTCACATTCCTTGGCTGGCTGGTGCACAGCCTCTTGCGACCCTCATCTGAACCATGACCAGCCAATTCCTGGGCAGAGCTCTGACCCAAGCCCCTCTCTGGGTTACTTGTCACTGTTGCCCCCTCATTAGGGCCAACTACTTGCCCCTTCCACCCATGACTCCCACTGAGCCACATCATTTGGCCTCAGGCATCCAAAGATCAACTGGGCCTCACTGCCCCCTCCTGGGGCTTCCACACATGCCCTCACCCTAGATTTGGGTGGCCATCAAAGAGGGCATTCTGGTTTTCTGCTACCCTGTCCTCTATTGATACGAAACCCAATGCCTTTATGTCATCTACTATTTTTCTCTTGAAGAGAAAAATAGAGGACATATAGGCATCCGGTTTCGTATCTATAGAGGACAGAGGACAACCGGACTGTCCCCTATGATGGCCACCCTACCCTAGGACCTATCCCTCACTGCCCCTTCTCTAGGGTCTCACAACTATGGCCCCTTCCAACTAGGACCACTGGGGACCCCCACATGGGGCTCACATGCTTCTTGCCAAGCATACCTGGCCCCCGCTACTCACACTGGGCTCAGATGCCTTCCATTAGGCATGCCTGGCCCCACTACCCTCCGGTCTTAACAACCCACCAGATGCTGGGGGCTGGGGTTATCAGGCGCCCATATCTGCCTTTCACTGGGGAGGTAACTGACCTGGCATTTCTGGGGGACTGTCCTGCCACAGACAGCCTCACCAGACCACCCTTCCCTAGCAGGGTGCAGTTTTGGGTCATGCCCAGGACCAACGCAAGCCTACCTGCCCTGGTCTAGTTCCCCTGCTAGGGCTTCTGGGTGATGAATCTAGGCTCTCTCTCTCCCTGGGCCCGGCTCTCACTCAGACCCCCATTTGGATACCTCCCCTCCAGAAGCTGTATTGCAGCCTCCATCATAACAGCCTGCATGCTGGCTGACCCCTACACTCTTCAGCTGTGATGTCCCCCCCCATCAAAGGGACCCTCAGCCTTTACAGGCTCTGGCCTCACCTCCAGGCCAGTTGGGATGCCAGATAGCTCACCGTGGCCCTGGCCTGCCCCTCTCACTGGGTTTAAATGCCCCATAGCCTTCAGGCCCTGGGCCTCTTGCATTGACCAGTGCCCTGCCAGGATGCTCTGATTAGCCCAGCAGGGAATTGATAACAGTGTTTATCACCCCTAACTCAATGATTAATTACTCCATTAAGAAAACAGAGGGACCTTACCAGCTACCTGTTGACTCTGCCTTTGTCACAGCATGGACCAGAGCCAGCATGTGATCTTCTAGCTAATACACACAGATACTTCTCAGCAAGGCAGAGGGGA